TCATCTTTTTCTCGATGTAGTGTGTTCTTTGGCTTTCCTCTTTTCCGCTTCCCTTCAGTATTCCAAGTTAGGGCTTGACTCGTGATGCAGTTTGACGGTTTGCGTAATGTATGTCCTATCCATTTCCATCGTCTTTTCCTAATTTCTTCTTCAGCTGGAAGTTGGTTTGTTCTCTCCCACAGAAGGCGAGAATAATTGTGAAATATCAATTTGTACAGGTTATATTTACGTGGTGAAGTTAAAATGAATTTTGAAAAGTCAATATATCAAAATGCAATACCAGGGTACTGCGTCATAGTCACAAACTTCGAATGATGAAGAATATTTATTTAGAAAGAAACGAGAGTGAGAGAGAGAAAAGAAAGAAGCAACTAAAGTGACAGATGATCAATCATGATAATGGGGGTATATTTAATATCGACCACTCAAGCAAGACATTAGTTTTCTAATTTACGTAAACGGGTGAATGTAAGTAAATTGATGTAATACGATTTAAAGTAAAACTTGACATTAGTATCAAAGTTTATACAGTAGTATTTTAGAATGATGATATGATAGTGCCAATTAATTGTAAGGTATAATCAATTTGTATGAAAAGGAAGGAAGTAAAATAAACGGAAAAAATCTCAAAAATTCTACTTTGTTTTACTGTCAATTAGATAGATATCGGACCTTGTTTGTATAGCTCACTGGTAATCACACTGATAGTTGATAGGTGACAAACCACTTTCGGAAGGAAAGTCATCAAGAAGACTTTTGAACCGGGTTATAGTTTCACCGCAACAGAGATTTACTGGGAGTCTGTTCCACATGGTTGAATAGCGAATAACAAAGGAATTCTGGTGTAACTATATGCAGGTTATCGGAATCGACAGAACCCTCTCTTTATTAGGCAGGTTGTAGGATGATATGATAGAATACGAAATAGTGGATGCCGAAGAGTGAGAAATACACTTTATAAGCCGCTAGATCGTCCAGCAAAAAAAAATTAATGTCGTGGACAAAATAAATTCAAACCTGTCCTTGATCACTAAGAGATTACCATAACCAACAACTGCTTAAATCATCAAACAATAATCACCTTTTAATATAGACGTCGTTAACTGTCTTACTAGATGTTTTTGATGAAGTGGAGAATACTGCCTATTTTAACTGTCACTTTTATCTGACCGATTGTAAAACTAAACATAGAATGTATGCACCATAAGTACAATCATATATCTCAGGTCACTACTATAAATGAACTCGGTCATATTTTCTAATCCTGTTAAAAGTACAAAATAATCGTTCTCTGACAAAACGTCTATGCAAAAACACTTGCGTTAATCTATATGTAATAGTGAACTTTTTCCAACACATAATTTTGTAGGTATCGGATATTAGTGCAGACTTTAATGGGCCCCACTACTTTGTCGTCATTTAGATCGGACGATGTTTGTTGACGGGCTCTCCACTTTAGTGGCCCATGGATCTGACTGCATGGAGATTGTAATGATGATTGTTATTGAAATATATATATCGCCTATCCTCGTATATAATCATCAACTTAAATCGCGTTAGTCAATAACGGAATTAAATAAGTCGAATAACAAGAATGGACTTGTGAATACATATATTTTGTATATAAGGCGAATGAAATAGAGAGAAGAGAAACCACGCAGAGTGAAGGTGGCTGGCTAGTATAGCCAACTCCCATTTAACCAAGCGTTAATCAATATTTATAATTACAGACATGTGATGAGACATGGGATAAGAAATGTACACACACCTATGCGCTCATATAAAAATAGTCAAGACTGATAAGCGAATAAATAACAAGGCCAGAATGTGACTCAAGTAGGATGAATAGATTGGGCTGTCCAAAAGCTAGAATAAGGTGTATGGGCTTAACATAATAACCGACGCTACAAGACCTTAGATATAACTAATGTTTTTGTTTGTGGGTCCCCTTAAACATATAGTGCTTACAGCTTGATGAAATCGTTTGTAGGAAATTGCATATTCTGCCTATAAGTCTTGGAAAATCAGTAGAATAACCATCTCACCCCATAAGCCCTAGACAACCTGAGACTATCTTTACAGATACGCAACACAGGTGGTGTGGTTGTTATGTACGTATTCACCCCCTACTCATGAAATCTAATTTCTCAGGATAAGTAGTCAAGCATGAAGGATACTCGTGGTTGCCATCGTGTAAGCGTACTTCCACAATCAGTTGTTTTGATTGTGCTATCGGAATAGCCCTAGAGATTAATTTTCAGTATTCAATATTTTTTACTTCTGACTTCTTAATCTCTTGTTCGATAGATATTGCAAACAGAAAGATGACTTATAGTATACGAGAAAATTCAACTTGCTAGAAAGATAACAAACGAGCAAGTTGTGACCGGGACATATTATTTGGCTCATGATCTATGTTTCGTGTTTTTGAAATCCCATTGGTTAGCCAGCCATGAGTTTATTCATGGTTGACGAATGATGTGCTGCGACGCAAAGAATATAACACTAAGAGCTAGATATACCTCCATCTTTAAAGCTGAACTTTATAAATTTTTCTTTGTCTCTTTGTGATGTCCAATTTTTCTAAGTTTCGTTGTTGTTTTGTTCAATTAATTTTGATTTCCCTGGAGATTTTTTTATGACGAGAATTGATTTCACTCGCATTCACTTTTGGGAAGACTAATATATAGATGTAATATTCTTGGAGCACCTTGGATTGGATGCTTAACACCGTTTTGCCGACGGGTTTCAAGTTCAGCTAGTGCTCTCTTCCTTTTTATTCTATCCTCGAGAGACATAAAAGGTCTAACTTGGATGTTGGAATTGTCGTGACAACGAGCACTACCTAACAGAAGATCCCGTTGTCTCTTCGATCCTAGGATTACCTTAAGGAGTCTGCAAGGTCGGGGTTCCTCTTGCCTATTCTAACCAGTTTTTTACCTTAACCCCTTTAGAGTTATCTGGTAAGATACTATGAATATATTCTCCCAGCTTCTCCAAATAATGCGTGGGTCTAATTTTGGATCAGGGTCGTTTGACCCCGGCAGTTTGCTCACAATAACATTCGATGATATTAGATCCTTCTTCTCAGTCACGCTAGGGTGGGTTTCTCTCTTACTATCAGATTTTGGTAGTGCATTTTGTGACTCACAATGGAGTCCACCAGTGACTTGCTAACCACCTGCGTACTACCTACAGCTTCTTTCTTTTCGTTTCGCTTACTCCGTACTGTAGTCCATTTTTCATCCCTCAGGACACTGGGACTATTTTGAGCGGTGACGGTTTTATGCAGATCTTCAAGTTCCAATAGGGGTGCATGGTAACTAATGTCAGCGTTAGGTAGTACTACCCCCCCCCTCGTTAATGATAATGGAGATTTCATTTTCCGTCAGTCAAAGTCGGTTGTTTAAGGCGTCTCGTAACAGCACGTACTACATTGACACATTTGTCATTGTCAGTCCTCGTGTTATCAGCGCATGCGCTATCGTTCTTCTTACAGGCCAAAGCCAATAGGCTCATAGCCTCCTGTATTAGTAACGTCTTATTTGAGCAGCAAAACATGCAGAGTCAATGTGAGTTAGGCTTCGAACATATTTTTTATGCAGTGATACTTAAGCGGGTGCATATCTTATGGAACCCCTTTTTGAATTCATCACATTGTATTGCTTCCTCCACAAGGAACAAACAGTTTGGTTGTCCACATTTATGAGTACTAACAACCATTCTAGTCAGATTAAGGTGTAAAACACAATATGAACACAGTGTCAGTCAACGAACAAAAGGGTACCAGAAGGCAAACTTCAGCAAGATTTCAAACCTTAACTAAAGTACTTTGATTTGGACCAAGAATGCTTTTGATGCAATAATTACACAAAAGCAAGAATGATCACAACAACTACAAAATCACTGCATTTTTTGAAACACTAACGACAAACTAATTTGGAAACAGAAACGATGCTGCAATCGAATACTTTAACTGAAATAAATTCAATTAAAGTGAGAACAGTAGTCTTGATACGTAGCAAACGATCAAAACAATATAATTTACTCAGTGAGGAAAAATACAATTGTCCTTTTAATTAGCACGCAATGTCGAAACATTGTCGACACAATGTCCGCAATATATTGCACTGGATTTCGCATATATGCATCCAACCAACCATCATGCTCATAGCAGAACGAATTTTCTGAACTAGTATGGATGAACACGTGAGGGAATGGGCATGCCCCTGTGTAGGTTGCGAAAAATTTAAGGTGATTAGGCACAATAATCTTCTCTTTAACGCTTCGCAACACCTGATGCTTGTTACGACCATGTTAGCCTTAGTTTTTTAGGACCATTACCGGACTCAAATAAATACTCTTATCTCTTGAGGTGTGCAGACCATTTCACACGATGGCCAAAATTAGTATCCACCAAAGACATTACTGCTAAAACTGTGGCCAACGCCTTCGACCACACACCACTCACAAGCTAACGAATTGTCAGAACGATGTCACCTAGAGCTGAAAGCTTCACTCTCATATGCTAACAATTGAAAGTCGACTGACGCTCGTCAACTATTGTTACCCGGTGTTCGCAATGCGATGAAAGCTGAAGTTGAATGCACTGCAGCGCGAATTGTTCACGGAACAAAACTTTATTTCTGACTTCTGATTTTCTTGGGTTGGTATATTTTGGTCATAACGGTGTTACATGTAAAAGCGTTTTCATACTCCGAATACCTGCGGCATATATAGATTGATTTTATTAAACCCATTTAAAAAATCCCGAAAATCGATGCTCACAAATACACAGACAGCATATTTTGTAGCTAGTTAAGGCTTTCGAAAATACAGTTCACCTCGTGATTTTAGATGAGTCTAGGTTACTTTTCCTCTGTAGTCATTGTTAAAAAACTAAATATAGCTTTTAAGCATTTCACATCTTGACAACTATCTGCGCCATTAAATTTATACGAAAGACTGTTTACGTAATGAGCATTAGGATATTGTCAATCTGAACTGTTAAGCCAATTCAATGAATGTAACAAACATTAACTTTTTAAGCGGCTTTTTCACATTTTCTTCCTAAACTCGCGTATCACCGTGATATTGTAAGCAGTGTAACTCTAAGTCAGAATAACCACCGAACATTGTTACTGTTTGATGTAAATGATTTATCTTTGTGAATGTACTCTTATCTTTTTCTATTGACAAACCATTATATACTGTAGAATATGTAATACACGTGGATTACATTATTTTTATACCAAAAACAATTACCATGTCAATGAGATATTTCCTGAAGCTATGATGCTCAATCCTAAAAGAAAAAGCAGCAAAATTTATCATATTTCACTAACAAAAAGAATTATTCGTTTTTGGACTTATTACCAATACCATCTAAATTTGTATGATACACAAGTATCACACAAATTGTAGGTAATGGTTTCTCTAACAGATTATAAAGTTGCTTCATTCAGCTTCAGCTAGACTAACGTCGATCTAATAATCAGCTCTATTCAGTATTTTATGAATATTCAGGTGATATATATCCATATGGATACATATATATATATATATATATATATATATATATATATATATATATATATATATATATATATATATATATATATATGGATAAGTCGAAAGCATCATTAATTCCGTTGGAGTTTTTCTAAAGACAGCATATATTCCCTGGTTTTGTACATGTACAAGTACCGTAACGGTGCACAGTACAATTCTGTGATTATGTTAGTTAATTATTATGTGTTTTAGCTAGTATTCTTCATTAAACGTATCGATTTCAGAATAAAGTTTTAAATATCTATTCGGTTTGAAGGTTATTCAGTTGCAAAAGAACCTTCAAGCGCCGTTAGTTAGATTTGTATTCTCAGTAAACACGTTTCGCAGATAGCTGGCATATGTTTAGTGTAAACGGAAAGAGTGAGTTTCTACTTTTATTTTGTTAATCGATTCATTATCCAACTAATATGAGTGAATTTACCGTTTCAGTTTTAGATCTAAGCTATGATATGGTTTATATACCAGCGAAAATAAATTTTAAGATCTGAAGGCTTTCTGTTATAAACATTCTTCGCTAATATCCATATACTGCTGTTATCTATCTGGAATGCTAAGCAAAGTTATATACTAAATGAATAAAACTGATCCATTGTGTGTCCAGTTGTTAAAAAGTTTAATTCTATGCAGCGAAAAAGCTGCCGTAATAGCCCGTACAATTAAAAGACAAACTGGTATCTTTCAAACACTTGTTCAAGTGAAAGATTCAACTGAGGCTAATTTAAGGTTCAGCGTAGATGTCAAAACTTTGGCCGATGTATTAATTCAAGAAGTTGTAAAGTACGACCTAAATTTACTTGTAAGTTATTCTCACTGATAACGCTGTATTTGATTTTGTTCCCCCTTGATACATTTCCAAACCAAAGATCAATCAGTGAACAGCCGGACAGCATTTTTTGAGCTAGAGATCCCAAAGTTGATTAACTACTGAAAGATATACAGGGATGACTTTTCCTATAAGAATAGTGTAAATTTATTCCGATAATTAGCAGCATTTGGAAATCATATGCTGACTAAAAATTCCCGAAATAGTGCAATCTAAGGCAGGTAGAACTAGATGAACACAAATTGACGTATTATTTTTGTGATTCGTAATAAGCACGCAATCAAGTACAAAGGAATCATCAGTTAGTACAAATATCGCACTTAAATAATAGTTGTTATAAAACTTGCACACTCTCCTTCAACAATACTTGCAGTGATCTTCTAAAAGTGCATACGTTCGAAATGGTTTTTGCACAGCTGAGGTTTTGTAAACGGAACAAGCACCTATTATCCTTTTTGTATCTTTGACATTAAAGCACTTTCTTCAGGTTATTGTAAAATAAATGAATTCATCATTACCCACGATGTAATCAGCGTTCAGTTTCGTTTCTGGTTATCCGATATCTAGCTATTATTCTAGAAAGTTGAGCAGTTACTTTATGACTGTTACTTTGCTATTACCATGATAAAACTTCCCTTATTCCATGATTAAATCTGTCTAAACCAGTTTGATTCTATTATGTGTCGATTATATAATGTCTAAGTTACTTATGCTTTTACGTTTGAGGAATCTATCCTCTTTCATGAAAAACTTCATAGTTAATCTATTGCACAATAATGTGGCATTGCTTACTCGGTGACATAATCAGTGTAAACATATATTTTATTAGGGTTCTTACATTTATCTTTCCACCTCTTACCTATGCTTCAGCTTGGCAGCGGAAACGCAAAGAGTATATCACAGGAGAAACTATAGAAGCGCTTGGTCGATCATGAAGGTGGTGTCCAATCCATTGCAGCTTCAAATAGTGTTTGAGAAATTGTGAAAGCACTGATGACATTCACCTATGGCTTAAACCAAAACACTAAGCAATACCAATGTATTTTGGTGGCATCTGCCAAGTTGATAAGTGCTCCTAAACTCATCCTGCCAAACTTTAAATTCTCTGCAAAGTAAAGACAGCCGAAAATTTAAACGAACTAAAGTTCGATCAGTAATCATAAGCGGCGATAGGAAACAAAGTCGGGAAAAATTGGAGATTGGTGGCTGTAGTTTATTCAAGATGAAATTCACATGTAACAAAGAGCTAATTGGAAGTTGTATGTTCAAGGAACAGTCTAAGCACGCAAGCATATATAACTAAACCATACAAAACAACAGATATTACTCAGTAGCTAAGTTGAAGAATAAAGAAAGTATAAAATATGGTCTTTTCAGTGCTATATGACTTTCCAAACTAAATTGAATGGAGCAAGATTCAAACCTTAAGCTTAATTATTTAACGCCGAGCTCTTTGACCGTTATACTAGTGCTCCTGCATTAACTAAAACTGAAAGATATCGTCGCTTATCTTTCTTTTATCTACATAAGCAAAGTTTAGTTATATTACACAATTTTTATGTTTATTAGACGTTGTAACATTATATATTGATCTTACCAAAAAATTTTGATAGAACTTTCTAGTACTATCAAAACATTAATTTTAAAACTTTCAGTTTCCTGGATTCAACAATTCGGTGTTTGGTGAAGAAAATAATCGTTTTTCTGGTAGTTCCGGTAAAACAGTGACAATTCAACTATCTTCTAGAGAAAATCTCGCTGATCTTTTAGGTAAGAGTGTGGCTTTCTCTTTATTGCATTTTCATGAAGGTTGTGAAATGAGAAAGCATTTTTTCGTGTATTCATTATAGTTAATGATGAGCACGCATACAAAACAGATGCTACGCATCAATAAATTTTTGATGACAGCTTTTTAACCACTGACATGCCCTTATTTTAGTAATCAATGAAGTAGCTGAACGGCAAAATTCTTTGGCAAGTCAAACGCTATTTGGATTATGCTATAGAACAAACCGAAGTGCAGTAGCAGTATAATTATCGTTTACATCTAACTCAGCTATTCACGAACAAAGTAGTAATTTGCTAGTTTTGTGCAGTTTAGACCAATTCTCGCCGTGTATACTTTTACATAAAAGCCTTTAACGGTAGACATCATTTGATATTAGATTCTTATTTTCTTGTCTAACTTCTGAACTCACATTTTATCTTTAGAATTTCAAGTTTGTACGAGCTATTTAATTTCTGGCCAGTTTATACCCTAGTTTCACTTCGGCTTGAGACGATTTAGAACAAAAGGAAAAAAGATGGCTGCTTCATCTTAGAATGGTTTTTCACAGAGGTACTTACCGGTTACTCCTCTAAAGATAGAATACTTGACTTTCAGACTTGCAATTTTTCTATATTATATGTTCATTGGAAATCTGTTTTGCATAATCTTTGAATTTAACTCTCTACTAGACGCATCACTTTAAAAATCGTAATTGCATAAACATGCTAGTAACTATTAACGGCTATTTACACCATTATATAACATTTCTTAATAAAATTTATGACTGTATAATCGGATTCATTTCTTATCTTTAACTTTTCAGTTGATGTTTTAGGCAACGATTTAGATTTTGCAAATCAATTAAGTGAAATTTGTTTTCGACCGCTAGAATCGTTTCAGACACAATTTTCAGTGTGTAATATTTGGGAAGACTTGATCTCCAATTGTAATTCACTATTTAAAATAACCGATATAAAATATTCTGATATTGGAACATTTGGTGTATGGATCGATCCAATAGGTATGTGTGATTGGATTTACTTTGCTGTTTTTACAAATTTTTCATGGAAAATCCACTTTTAGCAAGGGTTTACGAACATAAATGCTAGTGTGTATGTACATTCTGCCAAGCTTCAAATAAGGCGAGATGTGTGTCTTGAATCCAACAGCCACCCAAATACCAAAACTTCTAAATAGTTCAGTTTTGTTTATGTTTATTTCTCCGGGATTTTTAAATTGCGCATTTTACAAGGCTTATTTGTTTAATAAACAGATTTATGCTACTAACTTGAAAAGGACTTAATAATGGTTCGATCAGTAGAAGAATATAACGGTTTATTTCACTTTATCATGTTTTTTTCTCATCATCTGTTTACAATCCATAATATGTAGACATCAAAAGTTATCAATTAGACTTGTTTGATATTAATACCTACACTTATTATCATGATCTATAAAAATTTGAAATAAATAAAGAATTAGAGTGACTCAAGTAGCACTACAGTAGCGTCTCAGAGTATCAAGCTGAATATACGGATTCGAATCCCACATAGAGCACCAGCTCTCCAACAACGCCGAGTATACCTTGTTGACGAATGTCAGCTAGTACAAAACTTAAGTTATACATGGTTTGTTATCATTTACTTCGAACCATCTAACATCATCTGAACTAAAATAAACTAAATATCGACTACTTACGTAATCAGTTACTGTAACTGCCAGTAACTATAAACTCATCTTCTTTATTTCGTATGACTAGCGATTTTCTTCTTCAATAAACGTCAACCTTCACTATACTCTTAGGTCTTCGTCTTTTGGTTATTATTGTTTCGAACATCTATCATTACTTCATTAACTAAATTTCATCATATCTTTACTGCGAATATTACTTCAGACTATTTACAACCAATTAATAAGATTCCATGAAACAATATGATGAATCCATTTTATTTTACAAATCTTGATATTCTTGCTCTAATTAAATTTATCAAACGAAAATAATGTAGGAAAATTACCTAGATTCTTGTTACACCATACTGAAACTTATACATATTAACTTCGAACCTACTTCATCTATCCATGTACTCAATCTTTATTTTAATTTTAAAATATTATAGGTTATTAGTAACTAATGATAGATAGATCAAAATGAAATGCATGGCTATTTTAATTCACTAATCAACTTATTGTTTTTAATCTAAAGACTAATGAATCAATCGTTAATTATCATAGATCAAAAGTCTTTTTTTCTAGTTTGAAAATATTTCTCTTTTTATTAGAAACATTAAAATGGACTAGAATAAAGTTTGTAGAGGTTAAGTAGGATAAAATTTCTATCACGGATTCTTTTTTTATCAATATTATTGTTTACTTACGCCTGTTACTCCCAAAGGTGCATAGAAAGCATTCCTTAAACAACTCTGTCCTGGGCCTTCTTTTCTAATTCCATCCAATTCTTGTTCATTCTTCTCATATCTATCTCCATTTCTCGAAGTAATGCGTTCGTTAGTCTTCCTCTTTTCTTTTGGCCTTGAGGATTCCATGTGACGGCTTGTCTTGTGACGCAGTTGGGTGCTTTCTTCAATGTACGTCCTATCCGCTTCCAGCAATTCTTCCCGATTTCCTCTTCCACTGGAATCTGGTTTGTTCTCTCCCATAGTAGGTTTATGTTGATAGTGTCTGGTCAACGGATTTGAAGTACTTTGCGTAGACAACCGTTAATAAACACTTGTATCTTCTGGATGGTGGTTTTCGTAGTTCTCCAAGTTTCCACCCCATATAGTAGAACTGTTTTGACATTTCTTTTGAAACTTTTACGTTTGGTGTTGATTGACAGTTGTTTTGAGTTCCAGATGTTCTTCAGTTGTAAATATGCTGCTCTTGCTTTGCCGATCCGCGCCTTCACATCTGCATCAGATCCACCGTGTTCATCAATCATGCTGCCCGGATATGTAGAGGCTTTTACATCTTCCAAATCTTCTCCGTCCGGTGTGATTCGATTGGTGCATGCTGTGTTGTATCGCAGAATATTACTTTTTCCTTTGTGTATGTTGAGACCTACTGCTGTTGAGGCTGCTGCTACACTGGTCGTCTTCTCCTGCATTTGTTGTTGTGTGTGAGATAGAAGAGCCAGATCAATATTATAAATTTTTTAAAAATGTCTTTGAGGGCTTGGCAAACGATTTGATGGGATACACTAAACTCGAATTTAAACAAAATATATTATAAAATGGTAAGGTTTAAATAATATTTTTTAAAGATCTGAAGAGATATAACACTGTTTAGTTGCCTAAACTAATTAAAGTAAGTATAATTTTTGACCAGTGACTGATATTTTGAACATCTGTCGTCGTAACCATTACGTTAATGACTTATTTATTGGAACACATAAATACTGATAAAAAGGAGCATCAAACAGATATGTGCCACACAAACCATTATATTTGTGTGTGGGCTGTGATACTGCTCGGGTGCCTAAACAGAAGCAGGTGGTTTTCTTAGGGGGCCAAACTCGGAGCCTACGACCTAAAGGTCTGATCCATAAGGCAGTGGAGCATCGTAAGGAGATGGAGTCCCATGGTAGCCAGTGACCAGCGATTGGTTCATACGCCATTTATTCCTTCAGGATACTGGAGCTCACGTGCACCACTGATTTGGAATCAGGGTTTTGCAACTCACCTAGGTGGACTCTCCGTGTCCACTAATCCAGTTAAAGCGCCGGACATTCGCTTTCCGTTGTCTCAATTTCGTAAACACCAGTAATGCCGTGAGTAGGACTCCCCTGGCAGTGACTGTATACGCGTGGCCATGTGAGAGGATTTGTAGAGGGAACACTTACTCTCCCCAACCTCAACTGTACCCGGGCATTTGGGGGCATTCAGTACCAATATTCATTTGTATTGGTAAATATCATTACTCTTAAATTGAAAAAAGCCTTACTTTTCATTTAATGAAACATAATGTTCTTAAAATATTAATAATTTCCATTGTGAAAATTAGAAAAACACATATCAATGAACAAAATTGTTTTCAGTTAGATTGTCATCAGTCTTCATTCTTATATACATGAATGTTTATATGAAAATATTCAACCAATCAAGACAATCTATATATCAATGTTCACAATAAAACAGATTGGATAACTAAAATTAACAGGTAAACAGTACAAAATGATAGAAAGAAGACAGATGTACTAGTAGTATTGATGAAAATAACAAAAATTCTGGGCAATAGTTCAATATAGGAAGTAGGTCAAGCTTCAATAAACAAATTTATAATAATAATAGTAATAATAATAATAATAATAATAGTCACAAAACATTAAAATTACATAAAAGGAAATGTGTAAATAATTACATAGTGAAGAATAGAAGTGAAAAGAGGTGAAAAATGACAAACAAATACAGGATGTGAGAAAATCAATGAAATCGTTTATTAAGTCATGTCCGACCCAGGAAGCGATAGATGAGTTACGATTTTTTTCCTGAACACAATTTAGGGTTTTAGGTTCAGATCCCTATAGCTTCTGCTGTATGTAGGAGAACTCCATTGGATATTGACGAACGTATACGATAGATCACCCAAAACGGTTCACTTTTATCCACCATATAACCACTGTCAATCAGGTTTGCCAAAATAGAACTGAGTTTCTTTTTTGTGTTGCCCTTTCCAAAACAAGCTGGGAGCTTTTCAATTATTTGTTGGTTAAGTCACCTGGTGGTAGGCCTAATATAGCTGCCTCCCTAGGAGCAGCTGGATTAGTAGATACACAGTGAGGAGGCAAACTTAGGTAACTTATCCTTTTGTTGGTTAGACATCACTGGCCTACAAGGAAATGTCAACTCAAGGTTGGCTGCTTAGAATGTCATATTAGCTGCCCTCGCTAATCTAGCATACAGGAATTATCTAAACACATCCCCGTTGAGTTGTATTTTTAAGAATAGATATTTCTTTCGAGTGGTCAGTATCCCCAGCTTATTTCCACCAGATGCATGTACTTTTTTAAAAATTTCCTGTGTAACCGATCTCCATCGGTGTTATTAATAAACTTCAACTCCTTTTTTACGGTATCATCTGAGATCTTTTGTCTCTACTTATTAGATATATAATCAGACTTTCTTGTAGCGGATGAAAGTGAAACTAGAATGATGTGTACTAGCAAACAAAGGAGCTCTTTCCGTACATGCTTCTACTCAACGAGCGATCAACCTATCTATTCTTACTCTACCGTTCATAAAAATTTACATTATGTATCTTATCTACTAAAACCTTAAAATGATATATGTCCAGGAATCGATTTTATTATAAACATGAAAACGGAACGAACTCAGATGTCCAGACGTTAATATATAGAGTAGAGTAGATGAAATACACCATCGACAGTTATTTATTAAAGTAATCTACGGAACAGCATTTATTTAATCTCAATAGTTGAGATCATGGGTCATTTGAAGCTAGACCATTATGGAAAGCCTGGAAGCACTGAACGGCTGTTTCGTCACATCATGGGATACCTCAGCAGTGTGCGTCTACGACCTCGCCTTAGGGGATTCGAACCCAGGACCTATCAGTCTCGCACGCGAGCGCTTAACCACTAGACCACTGAGCCGGCCGGCATCGAACGGTATTAATGTCTAACTTCAAGTAATCCACGAAATTGCGCCACCGTCTACCATTGTCTTCAGTAAGTTACTATCTCACAACTGATAGTTCTGGTAGACCCTGGATTCGAATTTCGCCAGGTGTGATCGTGGGTGCGCCCTGTTGATCAATGCCATACTAGGATGAAACGGCCGTCTAGTGCTTTCAGGCTTTCCATAGTCGTCTAGCTTCAATCGACTCATGATTTCAATTATTGGAATTACTACAATCTCCACAAAATCCCTTCTGATACTGTTCATTAATATCTTTTATTTGTATTTATACTGTTCTCATTTTTTTTTCTTTGACCGTTTTTTTTTCTTTCTATAGACTCAACAGCTGATTATGTTCAAGATCAATTTGATAAATTTCATTTTACTTCAACTAATTCATCATCTACTCATTTATCTGGTATAGAATTAGATAATCTAAATCAAATTAATCATTTTTTTGATAATCCAACAAGTTTAATACGGTTCTATCATGGTAGTCTTATTAATGTTACAATTTTATTAGGTTTATTTGATTATTCAAATGGTTTACCATTAATTGGTGTTATAAATCAACCATTCTATTTAAATAATATAATCAATTCACTTAATAATGATAATCATTTATCAACTGATGAAATAAAGTAAGATTTATAATAATAATAATAGTAATTATTATTATTATTATTGTTTGATTTATTATTTATGATTAATTAATTGATTATTGAATTATTAAAGATTCCTATTGTGAAAATTAGAACAATATATGTAAGCGAACGATTGTTTATTATTAGATCGTCATCAGGCTTTCCTTTAAAATATACATGGAATATTTATACGAAAATGTTAAACCAATAATCAATAATCACAAATTCAGCTGTACCTGTGAAGATCGCTATATCGGGTATACTACCAGGCAACTTAACCAACGAATGAGTGAACATCTACTAGCTTGGTTTATAAAGGGTCAGTTCTATCTTGGCACATCTTATTGATAACGATCATACTTACTTACTTACGCCTGTTACTCCAAATGGAGCATAGAAAGCCGACCAGCATTCCTCGAACCACTCTATCTTGGGCCTTCTTTTCTAATTCCATCCAATTCTTGTTCATTCTTCTCATATCTATCTCCATTTCTCGAAGTAATGTGTTGTTTGGTCTTCCTCTTTTCCTTTGGCCTTGAGGATTTCATGTGAAGGCTTGTCTTGTGACGCAGTTGGGTGCTTTCTTCAGTGTGTGTCCTATCCGCTTCCAGCAATTCTTCCCGATTTCTTCCTCCACTGGAATCTGGTTTGTTCTCTCCCACAGTTGGTTGTTGCTTATAGTGTCTGGTCAACGGATCTGAAGTATTTTGCGTAAACAACGTAGATAACGATGATACTGTAGATAAATCGGAAACATTTCGAGTGATCTATCGTATACCTCCATCATTTTCGAACGGAGTTCCTTCCTGTCTCCTACATATAGCTGAAGCCATTGAAATTCGTACAGATAACCTCAGTTTATGTGTACAGAAGAAATTCGTAACCCCCCTATCCCTTCCATGGCGAGTTATAACTTAACTAACGATTTTTTAAATTATTATTTATTTATTTCATTCTATTTTTGTCATCATTAACCTTATTTTCACATCCATTATTTGTCTGTAACTTTCCGCCTCTTTCCGTTTGTATTCTTCACTATCTAATTATTTACTCACTTCTTATTACATGATGGTTTTAATGTTTTGTGAGGACTATTGCAATTCTATTTACCCACGTTTGACCTTCTATTTCCAATGTTTAACTGTTGATAAGAGTTTTGTTATTGTAGTTTATTTTATTATTCTAACTACTATCAGTACACCTCTATTCCTACTATACACTTGTACTCTTACCTAATATGTGTAGTGACTTATTCTATTTCATTGTGACTATTGACCCATATTGCATTGATTGGTTTAAAATTTTCGTATAAATATCAATGTACATTAGAGTAAGGCCTGATGACGATCTAATTGAAAACAATATTGTTCGCTTATATGTGTTGTTCTAATGAATTATTGGTTACAATCATTGATTTTAAGCTAATTGAATGTAGATTAGATCAGCATCCGGTAACTATCAGTAATCTTATATGATTAAGTTCCTTAATATAGACAAATGATCTTATTATGATTTAGTAGATGTTTAATAAAACTTTACCAGTTCATAATTCTAATGCTAAGCATTGAGTATTGTGTAAAAAATGGTACATTGATTATAGTTGGAATCTAACATTTTTATCAACTGAGATGATGTGATTGCATACTAGGTAAGATATTCTCAATTGATTAAGAATATGTTTGAAACAGAATAAAAGTGGACATTCTTTAATTTGGTAATGATCTATTAAGTTACTAACAATTCATCTGTATCAACTAGGCTATCTGATTATGGTATTTGTGGAGTTTAATACATTATACCTTTTAGTACATCTCTTGTATAAGATTTAAAATAAACTGAGCCACAACTGATATAATCTTGAAAAGAGCAAGAATAAAAACAAAGATTCTAGTAGAATAGCATGAATTCATTTTGATTTCGTCCGGTTCTCGTCAGCTGCTTACAACCTGTGATATTTAAGAATCATAATTACATAATGGGTTTAAATGACTTAAATAAAAGAGTTTGGTTGGAAGTTATATTGAAGACATATTCGTATAGTATAACAAGGGTATAAATAAATTGAATAGACTGAATATTGTAAATATATATACCTTATGTAAAAGAACATTCTACAACATTGATTATGACAACAGTCCAAACAGCTATGAACAAGTGGTTACATAATAAGTAAACATTGACAGGAATATAATGAGTACAGATCAGTTGATGCAGCGAAAGAATATTTGTCACCAAGGTAAGGAAAGATTAATAACTATCTCTTTTTGAACACATAAATCAAGTTTTTGGCGTCTGATAGCGACGGATTCAGCAAACTTCAGAAGACTAGAGTTTGTCTGCTTACTAATCACCTTAAAGAATTGCAACATATCTACCAGATGTCCTGCATCAAGGCGATGTTTGGTGATTTTACTGTTTAGAGTCGTTCTATCTCTTTTTTTTGGGACTTTTTGGAATATCTTCAAAAACATCTAAGATATTACCCTCCTTTCTGTTCGGCCAATGTAGCTGCTTTGGCAGTTACACCAGAATCATATTTATTTCATTCAGGATCTATTTTATTTTAGTCGATACATTTTGCATTCATGTCTGATGAAATTATTTTTTTATTATTGTTGAATTTACGATGATTTAGAAGATTTATACCTTAATGAGGATAAGTTTGATAAGTCATTACATCAAAAAACACCATTGTGAAATATATCATTTTTTGTAACAGGTTGTATATCAATAATGTATGTTACATATCAATTAACAAGAGGAATACAACTTAGAGATTTCATTCTATTCAACATTGTTGATATTTAAAACTAAATTTTGATCGGCTATAGTTACTCTATGTGTATTCTGTGCGGATCATTCTGATATGTGTTAAGTTGAACAGATGAATTATGGTTAGCAGTGGAATCTAGGACGCTCCTTTGATCCTGTTCGAAATACGTCAGCTGGATGTGTCTGCACTTCAGTATTGATGTTTAGGATGCACGTATATCAATAACGTCTGAATAAATAATGTCTTTCATATCAACTACGAAAAAATGTTAACCCTTTCAGATAGAATTAGATAACTTTTCCCAAATTGTGTCAAATATACATCAATGAATTTTAACTTTACCACCAGTATATTATCTTTATCGAGAGCCAGTATTCAATCATGTATGATAACTGAATACCTTTAATTCAAATTGTACAACTATAGTAATCCTTACACTAATAAATTGTATATTGTATGTTAATTGTAGTTCATTTGTTTATTTCATCCACAGCAATTAACTAAAACTTCATAGCTACTTTTTCTTCTAATGATTTCGATAATAATTCTCTTAAATAAATTTCATTTTATGATCAGATTTAAAACCGAAAAACTCTAATAGCCTATTGATTATACCGTTTTACTCACTGATGTTAAATAATGAATGAATTCGAAGGGTTCTTAATGTATGGCCTTTATTTGTTAATGATTGATACTACGTAAATAAGTGTAATGATAAGTTTTCCTTTTTGTTTAATATAACTTTTATGCAAAGTTTATGAAGAATTTGTTCGTTGTAAGTAATTATTCTTACTATGATCAATATTGATTAGCATACTGTTATTTTTGAATTGGTTAGTTCCTATGTTAACAACTAGAAATTATCTTAGGTTATTAAGTGATTGAAGATAGTCAGCAGATAGCATTCAGGAGATCAGTCAACGTTAGAATACATAAGTGATAGCGTCTCAGATTTTAAAAGTAAATGACATGAATTCGAATCTCACAGTGAGCATCACTTTCCTCAAGATTGAAGATACACTTTACTGACGAGTGCCAATTAGCATGGAAACTATGTCGTATAGAATTCTTTATTGAATACCTCTAGTTATGTAGAACAAACATTATTATTTATCAGTCAGTGAGTTCTTATTATAATGATTTCTTAGAATGAATTTGATTGAAATATAATTTCCATTTTGAACTCTGAATTTATAACCATAATACTCAGAACTTTCAGTTTCTTTCTGTCAACATGTTACTTTTATACCAATAAGTCGAATTTCATTTAACTTACTGTGTAATGAACAACTTTATAAACTATTTAACTTAGGATCTTACTTACTTACCTACTTACTTACTTACGCCTGTCCGGCACTTTAACGGGATTCCAAACCAAATCAATGATGCACATGGGCTCCAGTATCCTGAGGGAACAAATGGCGTATGAACCAATTGTTGATCACCGGCTTCCATGGGACTTCATCTCGTTACGATGCTCTACTACCTTGTGGATCAGACGTTCAGGTCGAAGGCTCGGGGAGTGGTCCTCTAAGAAATCCACCTAGTTCAGTTTGGGCACCCGAGCAGTATCACAGCCCTCACACATCGAATGAGATTTGTTTGGCGCATATGTATTTGGTGCCTCATTGTACCGATTTTTACGTGTTAAACTAAATAAAAATGTATTACTCCTCGTGAAGGAGCATAGGCCGCTCACCAGCAACCAATTAACTGACTGACAAATAATAATATGTTTGTTTTACATGACTGAAGGTAGTCGATAAAGAATTCTGTACAACATAGCTTCCATGCTAATTGCCACTTGTCAGTAAAGTGTATCTTCAATCTTGAGGGAAATGATGCTCACTGTGAGGTTCGAACCCATGTCATTTACTTTTAAAATTTGAGACGTCAACTTTGGATCATATAATAATATCAAATTAATATTCATACCATTTAAGTGATCTCAATGTATATAATATTACTTAAATTCAATTAACTTTTCATCTTTTTTTTATTTTATCATTATATATTTAGTTCATTATATAATTATGGAAGAATATTTTGGGGTTTCAATATTATTGATTCTGGAAATTCTTTACCTATTACTAAATATTCAAATAATTGTTCTAAATCAGCTTTATTGAATCCTTTGGATAATTTAAATTTACCTAAATATCTACATTTTCCAGATAATTTTTTTGATGTACTTTGTCCAGATCGTGTATTCAATGAAGAGAAACCAATTTTAAAACTTGCTTGTAGTTCTGTAGAATTTAGTCGTTTAACTAATTTATTCCATAGTAAGTTTATACTTAATATCAGTGATTAATTTTATTACAATTTTCAATAGTATTTTGTTGTATACTTGAATGGAATAAGGAGCTACTACTTTCTCTATCTCAATAGTATCTTAATTAATATCAATCTTTGATGAATACTGTTATGACTTTATTTCCGGCTTTTTATCACGTGATTTATCTACTAATCAAAATATGACTTATACAATCTTCGCAACTGTGCCAAAACTAATGACGTTCGACCGGTATGAGCAACCTGCGTCCTTATTGGTTCTACGTCCGCCTAGTCCGTCCACTTGAGTCCAGAATAGCAATACCAGCTTCCACTATGCGAATCGAATCGAATCATTTATTTCAGACATACTGGGTTTGTATATCAATCAAACAGACCGCAACGCACCATACAATAGGAAATAACATTTGTACACAATAAAGCCAAAAAGTGACTGTGAACATGAGAGGCAGTAGTCAATAAAATGAACATAGCTTAAGAACAGTAAATCGTACAATAATAAATTATAGGTCAAACAAAATAAAGCTTATAATAAGAGAAATATAAATATACATAGTCTAATTATTGAATAATTATACTATAAGAATGTATAGATAATATTAGTCAATTAATATGTGATTTAATCTTCGCTCGGATATACCAAATACAACCTACAGATTTATTTGCTGTTGATAGTGTACTTACTTACTTACTTACGCCTGTTACTCCACGTCGAGGAGAAAAGGTCGCCAACCAGAACTGTCCATTCAACCCTGTCCTAAACAATACTTTCCACTTCTTTCCAGTTGTTATTCGTCCTTTTCATATCTGCTTCTATTTCCCGACGCAATGCGTTCTTTAGCCTTTCGCTTTTCCGCTTCCCTTCAGGATTCCGAGTTAGGGCTTGCCTTGTGATGCATGTGGACACTTACATGTATATATAATATTTTCAATTACTTGTATATTTAGGAATCATATAATCAAGATGCCATTTATTTTAAAAAGGATGAAATAATGATAATATTTGGACTCTAATTGTTTCATTATCTATAAGAACTTTCGTCTAAATCTGAACGAATAGGTTCATAGTAGTTGGGTACTGAGTTAATGTGTTCGTACGGCCGAGAGTGGGGAGAGTCCGCTCTCCCTCTCGTAATGCCCTCACATGGCCACGTGTATATAGCCTCTGCCAGCGAAGTCTTACCCACTGCCTTCTCGTGGCACTACTGTTGTTTAAGAAATTGAGAGGACGAAAAGCGAATGTCCGGCGCATTAACCGGGTTGATGGACATGGAGAGTTCACCTAGGTGAGTTGGAAAACTGTGATTTCAAACCAATGGTGCACATGGGCTGCAGTATCTTAAAGGAACAAACGGTGTATGAACCAATCGTTGGTCACCGGCTGCCATGGGACTGCATCTTCTTACGTTGCTTCACTGCCATGTGGATTAGACCTTTGGGTCGAAGGCTCGGGGATTGGTCCCTCTAAGAAAACCATCTGCTTCGGTTTGGGCACCCGAGCAGTATCACAGCCCTCACACATATCGAATGAGATTTGTGTGGCGCATAAGACATTGAGACAAATTATATTTGTAAATTCTCAGTGATTGAATTTTAAGTAAATCTAATGTTTTGCTCGGTGATCTGGTTCAAGTATTTTCAAGAAAATATAATCAAACATCAAAATTATCGAATATATCTAGGTACATGTTTCTCCGGTTCATTAGATGCTATCATGTTAAAAATATTAAAAGTAAGAATTTCCTACAGTGCGTGCATATGAGATATCTGGTGTGTAGAGATACGTTAAGATAATAGTTGTATGTATGTGTGTTTGGATCTGAGGTAAGTTAAAAAAATTCTCATGGAATATATATATATATATATATCGCCTCTGATTCTCAAGACTCTAAAATCTAAACTAAGACCTTCTCTATGGTTTTCTCTATAACCAAAAAGCTGCAGCTCTTTTAGATTTTATGGGCTACCAAAATTCACTAAACGGATGTCCCATTATAAACAGTAGTTGATTATACTAATTCATCTATGTTCAGTCTTATTAAATATCTATCTAATATTCTTAAACCATATGAAATTAAAATCAAATTCGGAATAAAAAATTCTAGTGAATTCAACGACATCATCATCACTGTTCATATGGTAGAAAATGAACTGATGTCAACCTTTTTTATGTTTGCTCTTTGTTCATTAATGTTCCTGTTAAGAAGACTTTAAATATTGTATATAATCTCTTAAGTTCTGAAAATGAACTAAAGTAACAATGCTCATTAAGTCTCTCAGACATGACTAAAACTGTAGATCTATGCTTACGTTCCACCTATTTTTTTAGTTTTCGACGATGTAGTGTCGGTTATTATGTTAAGCCCATATACCTTATTCTATGTTTCGGACAGGCCATTTCATTCACTTTACTTGAGTCACATTCTGACCTTGTTATTTATTCGCTTATCAATCTTAACTGTTTTTATATGAGCGCATAGGTGTGTGTGCATTTCTTATCCCACTACTCATCACATGTCTGTAACTATAAATATTGATTAACGCTTGGTTAAATGGGAGTTGGCAATACCAGCCAGCCACCTCCACTCTGCGTGGTTTCTCTTCTCTCTATTTCATTCGCCTTATATACAAAATATATGTATTCACAAGTCCATTCTTGTTATTCGACATATTTAAATCCGTTATTGACTAATGCGATTTAAGTCGATGATTATATACAAGGATGGGCAACATATGTATTTCAACAACAATCATCATTACAATCACCTTGGTGTCAGATCTCGGGCCACTAAAATGGAGAGCCCTTTCGACAACGTCGTTCGATCTAAATGAGGACAAAATTACAGGCCCCACAAGGAGACTTATACAGACAAACAGATGTGGTTATGGGATCACCTAGTTCTCTAATTGTTGAAGAAGTTACACAATCCATTATGGATATTATTTGTAATGAATAACCAAACGTTAAAACTCTTCTATTATATCCTCATATTAATTCAATGTTCAATGTTTTATTTGTTTCCATTTATTATTATTCTTACTATTATTATTGTTTAGACTATAAAGATGCCAATCAAGATTTAGTCAATGTTGTGTTTTTGTCATCATCCGGAGCTGGTTTTAAGCAATTATGTGTAATATTAGATCAAGTGGACGCATTTATTTTAATGGAAGTAAGTAGTTCTAATCACATTTTCATAATTTACTCTTGTCTTTCATCGTAATGTCCTAAAATAGTCAATTAATTGGTTAGTGATTAGAGACGTAGAATGTGACATTTATGTACATCGATTTAAGTTTCTACATCATATCAACATTGTGAGATGAATTTTTTTCAAGACAAATTCCAAAGTAGTAGAGGGAGTAACAGCGTTAGTGTTTATAAAAAACATTGGGCACAGACAATGTAATTCAACAAGAAAGGATTGATTTATGAAATAAAATTTGCAAAATATTTTGAAGACCTAAGAGAAGACAAAGACAGAATCCATCTGCTCACTTGTGACTGATTATGAACCATATCACTCAACGTGTGGAACCACTGGCTACAATAATCTTCGGGTTCGCACTTACGAATACGTCTCAGTTCGGTAGTTAAGGACTTTGTGTAGCGATAACACATTCTGTTTTCCACACCTCTGGTTTCCTTCAAACTAACTTCTAAATCATCTGTCACTAAACGTCGAGATAGATGATGGTTAGGCATACATAATACATGATAATATTAGATATATACGGCGCTTTAAGGATATGATGTGAATGAACAATTAGCGGGATTGTTTGGACGATTACTTTCAACTGATAAACAGTGATGATAACTGATTACTTTGATTTCATTGATAAAATAGGATATTTAGGACAAAAGCTACGTCTTCAGTTTGTGATGGACGAGTTCACATTAGAGAAAGAAAAATCAGATCAGTATCTTTTTTGTGTGTAGAGATAACATTCATGCCTCTAGCGTCAAATTTCCAATAGACTAGCAATATTTTAGGAATAATAGGAAATCATTCCAAACTTCTCCAATTCATGACACACGATCGGTGGTCTATACTGATGCACATTTTCATAATAAACAATGAATAAGTTTGACAAATCAATCGCTTCATTTATCATGAAAGCTACATGACATTTCATTGTTTGTCTATCAAAAACTCTTGATACAGAGACAAAATACAAGTTTTGTTTTGTATCAGACTACCTTTTTTTAGTAAAGAATATTTATCAACAATCTATTCCTCTACAAGGTATCAAGTTCTGTTTTACTTGATAACTTACATTTACTGATTTGAAATGGAGAAGAAATATCAATATCATAGAATTTTACTCATTTATATCTTCTTCAAAACCAGAGCATTCAGGAGAAATACAAATATAATTATCATATTTTACAGTTTACATTATAAAAGAACTTCAGTTGGATAATTATTAAGATAAAGAACTTATTCATGATAAACATTCACAACCCCATACATAGGAGGAAACCTCGTTTTCCGAAAAATTTTATGAAGTTTCAATGTGGAGCAGTGAACTATCGAGTCAACTTAGTAGATAGTTCGTTCAATAATTAGCAGTGATGCGTAGTCATTGTCGTATCACATTGAGAATTGATTGAAGTCCAAAACATTGACTTTTTTCTAACATAATTGTGTCGTACTTACAACGGAATTTGTAGATCTTATGATCTGTTCTGTATTGGTTTTATTTCTTCAGTTTAAGTATACCCAGACAATACTTAAGACCAAGTGAAGTTTGTCCATTTTTAGATTCTTACTAATATAATATTTGAACAAGGCCATTAATAATAATAATAATAATAATTAAAAAAACATGTTCGCTGATAGTTTTCACTTAACAGTCTTTGCTATCAAATCTTTCATATTAATTCCATTTAATGTTCTTACTCAGAAGTAATTTTGATTGTGATCATGGATCGATCAATGTTAGACCACCATTGAAAACCTGGAAGTACTGAACTGCCGTTTCGTCCCAGTACGGGACTGTTCAGCAGTTTGCACCCACGATTCCGCATGTGGAATTCGAACTCAGGACCTTCGGTCTACCACGCGAACGCTTGACCTCTAGATCTCTAGAGCCAATTTGTTTTATCACATCATCTCCGTTAGGTTAAGTGATTACAAACATTAAATTTTCACTCACAGATATAGAAGTTCAATTTTTATTCCATCCACTTTAGTTTGAATAGCTAAATAATATCTCCAGATGCATAGGGACCAATCGCTAAATGACAACGAACAACCTGTTTGCTTAAATTCTATAATTCTGCTGGCCAATTACAATATAAACCTCTATCACTTGTACTATATTTTGATATTAGACAACTGAAAACAATTGACAGAAGATTAGATCTATATTTCGTATGAGTCGATATTTTATAGTAATATATCCTCGTAGTTTTCCGATAATTAATATTCCAAAACTTCACTCAGTCAGAGATGTTCCTACTTAGCTATTCAGTTTTAAATTGATCTCCTGTATAATTGAGATATTTACAACAAATAATCAAACAATAAAAAATAAATCAACCATTGTAAGATTAAAGATATATCTCTTAGTAATAAGTATATACTAGCATAAAATCTCGAATCAAACAAAGATTCAGTCAATTTAACATTTCTACTTTCCACATTACAAATATAATATAAGTAAATAGAATGAAACGTGCATCAAACTGGATTCCACTACTAACCACCATCCATCTTTACTTGTAAAACTTGTAAATTAAGGCTATATCGAGGCAATACATACAGTATGTGCACATATGCCAATAACAGACTGATCAATTACAGTCTTAAACCTCAATGGATAGATTCAAGCAAAACAATATCGAGTGAATTTAAAATTCACTCCATTGCACAAGCAAGTGGCTATCAGGACTCAGTAGCTGAGTGGATAACACGATGGCATTTGAAGTGAGTGGTATTTGGTTCGAGTCCCGGAGTGAACATCAACTCTGAGATGCAGGTAGATCCGGTTGATGAGTCCCAAATAGGACGAAACGCGCATCAAACTGGATTCCACTACTAACCACCATCCATCTTTACTTTTAAAGCTTATAAATTAAGGCTATATCGAGGCAATACGTACAGTATATACACATATGCCAATAACAAACTGACCAATTACAGTCTTAAACCTCAATGGGTAAATTCCCTTACATTCTGTTAACATTAATTATATATTGACAATGATATTATTAAAACTATTTATTTAACATCTATATTATTCTTTATTATAATTAGCCAAATACATTTATATGGGATACATGTGGACCACATACAATCATGAATTCATTAGGTGGTGGTATTATTCAATTAAAATATGCATTAAATTCTATTAAATTATTATTATTACAAAAACAATTATCAAATAATTACACTGTAATCATTCAATTAATAATGAATGATTTACATAAATATCAAATTAATTACAATATTATAAAATCATCAGAAGAGATACAAGTAAATTAGTTTGTTTGTTTGTTTTTTGTTCATATTATCATTATTATTATTATTATTTTCATTGGTTGAGATCATGAGTCCGTTGAAGTTAGATCATCATAAGAAACCTGGAAGCACTGAACGGCTGTTTCGTTCTATTGTCAGACTCCTCAACAGTACACATTCACAATTTCGCTCCCCGCGAGATTCGAACCCAGGACTTATCCAGTGCTTTCAGGTTCTCCATGGTGGTCTAGCTTCAATTAACTCATGATCTCAACCACTGAAATTACTATAATATCCACAAAAAAACCCCTTCTGATATGAATTAACATATGCTCACTAGTGACTGGCTTCAAGAAGTATTTCCTGGAGTTTTAGTGAGAAGTTGTAACCAGTGGAGTTCATTCGGGTCTGTTGTGAGATAGTAACTCACTGATGACAACGGTGGATGTGTTGCTCAATTTTATGGATTAATTGAAGTTAGACATTAGCACTGTCCGTTGGATACCGGCCGGCGCATTGGTCTAGTGGTTAAGCGTTCGCGCGCGAGACTGATAGGTCCTGTGTTCGTGGCCGGGTCGTGGATGCACACTGCTGAGGAGCCCCACAATACGATGAAACGGCCGTCCAGTGTTTTAAGATTTTCCATGGTAGTCTAGCTTCAGTTGACTAATGATCTTAACTATTGAAAAATGTATTATACAAAACCAAAGAATGAAAGTAGATACACTTCTTTTACATAGTTCAAAAATTTGTCAAGATTATAAAGAGGTTCACAGGTTCTAAAATCGTAATGCATACAGTGGAGGAAATCATCCATATGACTCTATAATAGTCGGTCTCTGGAGCCACGATAAGGTCGCAAAAGCTCTCTCAGCCTCGACCATGTAGCTTCAACATTGTTTGTTTGTACCCCGGCTCTTAGGTTCACAAAAGGTGACTTATGAATAATGACACGATGCACATAACCAAGTCTATAAAGGTATCTGTATGCTCTTTAATCATCCGTATATATTGTAGTACCCGACTGTAGCCAGTGTTACTGGTGCTTCTATTATATAGTTCGCAGCAGTTTTCATAATTTGCCTTAGTCTTAATCTGGATAGAGCAAAAAAAAATCCTATTCTAGCAAACTTCTTCCTCCAACATATATTACATCGAAAAACAACAACATCATGGTATTCTGCATAAGGTCCACAAGTCATTTGATTACCACATATCACATATGAAAGAACTTCTTATTAGTCCTATTTGTCCTAGTCGCCCAATTGTCATGTTTTCTTTAAACTCCGCTGTAAACCGATCTTACGTGAGCATCAGGTACTGAAATTGGCGTTGTGACTTTGAAATCCCTCAAATGCATCTGATTGGCTCGTCCATAAATTATAGTCTTGCCGTGTTTCAGTTTATTGTAAATTTTATCAAAAAAACAACAAGAAACTATAAACCCTTACTAATAACTTTATATCCCTTAAATAAATCAGTGATCATTTAAACTCAAGAGTTAAAAAGATGGATGTTTGAAGTGTATGACATTGGATTTAGGTATTCATGTGTACATTAATATTGAGATAAAAGTACATCTGACTGACAAATCTAATATAAAACAAAAAGGGATATCTTCGATTCTAGTGCTAATTACATCTTATTTACAAAAATTACCTTACGATTAATATATACTTTAGCAATATAGACAAATAGATGGATAGATCCTTATCTGTAATGTTATAAATTCAGTTGGATCATTTTTACAGCATGAAAATGTCATTCAAAGATGTTCTGAAAACACATACATCATATCAGTTCCTTTTCTCAAGTTCCTTAAAAACATATATAAGATGTAGTTCTATTTTGATGGAGTTTTATTCTCCGATCTGGGTGGTTCGGTTGTTGAGCTTTCATCGTTCTTCTGAACAACATCATCATCACAAACTTCAAGTAGAAGTAAAGTCACTTCACTTCTACTTGTATCAAGATATAGAACAGTCACTGATAAGTTTTATCAAGTTTTCATTGTATATTTTCATAAACAAAACTTCACTTTCAAATATATTAATTGCCTTGATTGTATAAAACAGTTTAATTAATGAATTTCTGAACAAATATCATGTACTCATAAATGAATAGCTTCGAGAAGGAATTCCCAGAGTTCTGTTGAGAAGCATTAATGAGAATAGGTCATTCATATTCTATGTATAGTTGAAAACCACTTATGATATTGTAAGATAGTTACACAATATCACAAATTCATTGGATCTGACTCAATGCCATGAGACATGAAAGTATTTAGTTCAATCACTGGCTAAGCTGTAGATTCATACAGATCAGTTATCGTTGATTATCAACAGTTGTCTAACGAAGCTCAGTTCGTGATGTAAATCATAATGTCACTATTTTTTTAATCGTTCACTTTCTCTCTCTCTCTCTCTGTCTTGTCACTACACCTTTTTTTCTTCTCTCCTATTTATAGACAGTCAACTCGGTCAATCTTTCCAAATGTTGTAATCGTAATGGCTTACTAGCTTATCGTAATCCATTGATAGCTAGTCAAATTCTTCTTCATATTGCATTAAATCAAAAATAGAAACATTCAACAATAGATTTATACACATATACATAGAGACAGGTAAAGAAGAAAAAGTTTAGTAAAGAACGGTGACACATTTCTTTCTTTTTTTTGTTAAATCACAAATGAATCATTGTCCTTTTCATCCATAGAAACAGGAAGAAAAAAGAAAAAGAAGAAGAAGAATATAAGTAACATATTTCGTTTTTCTCTCATTCCATGTAATAAACAATCATGTATCATTAACATAGTGTGATTATGGATTGATTATGGATTATTATGTAATTCATTATTACCTTAGTCACAAAGAGAATAAATTAACCAAGTATTTATGATCAACGTAACTAAATGATGGTTAGCGTTGTGTTCTTTTTTTTCTAGCGAGTTAGTTTTCTATGAGATGGACTCACTAACCCCTATGTTCAATCCTCCTCTTTTACTTGGGATTGGGATCAGGATCGGCAGTAACTTTAGAAAAGCTATACGTAGAATTATAAATGATGATAACTTATCAATAAATCATGATAGATGTTAAATAGAATGGATACAATTGATCATCATTCAATGAATAATGAATCAATAATTTATGAATATTCAATCAATAATTCTATACACATGAGGTTATTGTATTGATCGTTTATTATTCAGTTTTATTTTGTTCTTTATCATAATGAATTGATCATTATTTTGTTGTTGTTGTTGTTGTTTGTTACTTTATTTAATTTTTTGTTCAAATATGTTAAATTTATTCATTGTTATCATGTAATAAACATAATAATGCACCCAATATATATTGGCCCCCAAATGCCTTGGTATGGCCGAGAGCGGGGTAAGTTCGCCCTCCCTCTCGAAATACTCTCACACGGCCGCGCGTATACAGCCTCTGCCAGCGAAGTCCTACTCACCGCCTTCTCGTGGCACTACTGTTGTTTACGAAAATGAGAGGACGAAAAGCGAATGTCCGGCACTTTAACCGGATTCCAAATCTATGGCGCACATGGGCACCAGTATCCTGCGGGAACAAATAGCGTATGAACCAATTTTCGGTCACCGGCTACCATGGGACTGCATCTCCTTACGATACTCCACTGCCTTGTGGGTTAGACCTTTAAGTCAAAGGCTCGGGGTGTGGCTCCCTAAGATAACCATCTGCTTCGGTCTGGGCACCCGAGCAGTATCGCAGCCCACACGCAATTAATGAACTGAAATTGTGTGGCGCATATATATTTGGCGCACTCCTGTACCAATATATATGTTCAAATAAAAATAAAAATAAAATTGGGTTTTTTAGGTTCGAACCCTGTTTTCTGGTTATTATTTTCTAGTTTAAACAATTGAATCACATCATTGTTTCTTATTACATAGAAACAATACTCATAGTTGAATGGATAGATTGCTAATTGGTAAGTGAATTACATTGGTCCACCAGGGTGCTTGGTACCTGTGTGGTTGCGCCACAGGATTCAGCTGTACTATTCAGATTGTAGCGTTAAAGCCTATACGGTATCTGGTTCTCCTGCTAAACGGCATTGGGTTGTCACGTGAAAGTCCGGATGGTGTCTGGTTCTCCTAAAAACCAATGTAAAATTATTCTGGCCCACAAGGGTATATTATATAACTGAAGTGAATTACATAACAGGAATAGTAATAATAATAATAGTCGTATTGAGTTCATTATTTTATCACATTCCTTTCTTATCTTTATAGTTTTAAAAGGGATAAATGGATCATAATTAAGTGTTTGTTTGTGTGATGTATTTACAACAACATTTAACTTATTTATTTCTTATTCAATAAACTCGTGAGTTCAACTGTTAAAATACTACTATATTCACAAATCCCCATACTGTTAATAATCATGTGTTCAATAGTGAATAGCTTCAAAACGAATTTCCTTGTGTTCTAATGAGAAGTCGTAACCAGTGAAGTTCAATCTGTGTCGAGTAGAGACTGTTATCCACGTCAGATCATGAACGAAAGGTTGAGCAAGATCATGGATCAATTGAAATTAGACATTAACACCGTTGAATACTGACTCAGTGATCTACAGATTAAGTGCTTACGTGCAAGACCAAAGGTGCTGGATCTGAGTTCCGTGTGTGGGATCATGTATGCGGACTACTGATGTTTCCCCAAACTGGTCCGAACCAGCCATTCAGTACTTCGAGGTGTTCAATGATGATGATCTAGCTTATCTTGATTCGTGAATTAAACTGTTATTTGGTTACTTCTTAAAACCAGGAAGTGATGCAAACTTATCCCTCAACTAGTATATGATGCTTCAGCAATCAGTATCTACTATCCCTCTGTGAATTGAACCCAAATCTTTTAGGTATTATGCTAATTGTAAACCGATAAACGACCGTTATGTCGTATTGTGAAATGACAGAAATTCGAAATGTCAGCTGCTTGGTTCCATCTCAATATTATAAAAATAATATGCTAACTGCCCACTGGGTTAAGTTTCTAGAGTCGTTGTGGGAGAGCACTCTCGATATTTTACATACCAACAGAAGATCAGTTGTCCATTGCTCCTTGGTTCTCAGTTATATCCTAACTAATGTCAGTCTACAACGAATGCAGCTAATAAATCACACTAACATACACAAACCCTTTAATCAAAATATTCTTCAAATAATATCTCAGTGTATGCATTTAAATTCTCAATAAACAAAATATACGCTAAAACATATAGAATTAATATCATATTCAGATTTAATAACATTGAATGTTGAATACAACTGGTAGAGTTAAAGTAAATGCAGAAATCTTTCGAAATTGAATCAACCGATTAAAAAAATGATTGTTATCATAAAAGTTGTATTAACTTTCATCAGTAATTCCAAACGTTTTTGAGATGATCAAAAATTTTCTAGCTTACCAGTATAATTATGTAAAATAACTAATTCAATCTCATATACTGATAATACTATCTAGGAAGACAATTAAAGCTTTATGATTGAATCATCCAGCTTAGAACAGTGCTATGTTTGAAGCGATTACGACTTCCCCTAGTCTGAGAAAGGAACAAAGACTCTGTGACCAAAAACCAATAAACTAGCTATTCTGATGCGTTCCAGACCCGCTAACTAGAGGAAGAAGTTCAAGCTTGGAACGAGAAAGTATATTCCGTAAGCTAGAAGCACGAGCAATAATAACAGGCACAAGTCAAACTTATATATATAGCATAAAATTGTCCTTGGGAAGCGTTACAAATTAGCATACTAAAAGATACAACGAACCAATAGCATTTAAGATTCTCCCAAGTGAAAGATCCAACATGAAGGTGAAAATGAGCGGTTTTTGGCGGGAAAACAAGAAAATTCAAAATTTTAAGATAAGATTACAATATAAGGTATTCACCAAGCGAGTTCTGGGGATTTAACATCCCCAACAAACACAATACAACACTTACAAAAGTTTAAACTCTTCACTTGATTTTATTATAACGAATATGACAGTGGTGGAAATATGTTTTTTATCCAACTGTATCTGTCAATTAATAGTAGTATATCTATACATAACTCCGACTGTAGCTCTTCTAGAGTTACTGCCGGTCCTAAGCCCATGTCAAGGAGTATGGTTGAGCATGAAATTAGCGACTTCATCTCGTAGAAAGCTAACTCACTAAAAAAACGTTAACCAGAAAAAAGAATAATTCAAATCATCTAAACTCTACCCTGAGAGTTAGAACGTCTTCATTTAAAAGAGTTATGACGCCTCATGATGAAAGCCCAGTTCCTTCGGAAGTCACGAGGCTGATGCCTCTTCTCATAATCAGAGAAACAATTTTTTTTATATATCTATACATAATGTAATATATTATGATTATTTTGGTAAATTTTTATTCTTAATTATCTAAACCGTTTCAATAAAAGAAGATTTAATGATTTACAAAAGGTTTTTACTTGTTGTTGTTATTATTATTTGTAGTAGATATACTCTCATTGAGGTCAAAACGTGGGTGTATAATTAGTCCTAGGTCACTGATATATAACATTAATAAATTGAAGGTTTCAGTTGAATGTAATCAATCAATAAATGAATGTTTATCAATAGATGATATATTTTGAAGGGAAAAATAAGGATATATTCACTTCTATTGAAGATATAATAAGTCATAATCATAGCAGGAACATTACTGAATGGAGTGAAACGAATATCTTGAATCCTACTACAAGCCATAATCTAAATATATTACAACTTCGTAACTGAAGATAATATTGTAGCGGTAAATAAATCCCCGAAATAAATAGCTCCCTAAGTCTCCGACATTGGACGTTGACCACATTAGTTTTAATGAATTCACCTAGCTGAAGGTGCTCGGTCATGCATCCACACCAAATCGCAAATGGGAACGCCGTGCTCAACATCTACTGCAATCGCTAGCCAGATTAGATCAGATGATTCTCTATATATTGATAGCCTATCAAATATGTCTTCGAACCTCCTCGCTTCTGTCGTTTAATTTCACTTAATGGGCGCGATTCATATTCGAATGTGTTACTGGTTAAAGCGTTGTCAAACTCCTTATATCCGTGGCATCTTCAGTATCAAGGCAATTACTCAGGATTTAACGGAAGAATCTAAACCGTTGAATATCACCATATAAATCAATAGTCTTAGCCGCTTATGCTGTCAAGTTTATTTAGAACATTAATTCGGTTATATTTTCGTCGTTTTTGAAGCAAATTCATTATGGTTGAAAACGTCATTAATTAATTTGTATGTATTTTTAAACTACTATACTTTCAACAAGAATGATACCATTTTAATGATTATACATTATCATTAAATGAACTTTGGTATTCATTCATTACATCATCATTTTAGAAAATAGTCTTATAGAACAATCATTGATTTGCTCATACACTTGATTGTTGAAAATTACTGACTTACGCCTGTTACTCCTAATGGTGCATAGAAAGCCAACCAGCATTCTCCAGCCCACTCTCTCCTAGGCCTTCCTTTCTAGTTCTATCCAATTCTTGTTCATTTTTTCTCATGTCTATCTCCATTTATCGGTGTAATGTGTTCTTTGGTCTTCCACTTCTACTCCTTTGGCCATGAGGATTCCAAGTGAGGGATCGACTTGTGACGTAGCTGGATGCTTTCTTCAATGTGTGTTCTATCCACTACCAGCGCTTCTTCCAGATTTCTTCCTCCACTGGGATCTGGTTTGTTCTCTCTCACAGTACATTGTTGCTAATAGTGTCCAGCCAATGGTGTCATTATATGCCTCTTTATTTTTATTGCATCTCCATTTAGATGTGACTTTTTGGTCATTTATTTGTTCATAATTCACCTGAGCTACAAATCTTCTTTACTCTCGACATGAAATATCTATCCTTCAGTCTGTTATTTTCCCTCCTATACGAATAAATAATTCATCATTATTATTAATGCCAAGGCTGGACATGATAGTTACCAATAAATTGAGCATTAGGTACAGATTTAATAACAAATATATTTCTTGTTATATTCCATTGAGTACAAAAGTTGTGTTTCGGACGTTTTGTAACTTAATGTAAGTCACTTGTGCAAAGTAAATAAACGATCGAGAATAAATAAAGTCAAATATAGTTTTTGATTGAGAGCATGAATCGATTGGTGCTAGACCACTATTGAAAACCTGTAAGCACTGGACGGCCGCTTCTTGCTATTGTGAGACTCCTCAACATTACGCATCTACGATCTCGCTCACGGGATTCGAACCCAGGACCTTGAGTCTCGCACATGAACGCTTAACCTACTGGACCACTGAGCCGGTATCCAATGGTGTTAATGTCTAACCTCAGCTAATACGTGTCGGGTAGAAACAGGTGTCTACCTCAGTATAATGGAAGATGGTCACGAGAAGGCAG